AGAAAACCGAACGTAGAACAATTTTATAACCCCGCCCTGCCCCTTTATGGCTGGGTGCACGCACGGCGCGTCTTTTGTCTAGTGTACTGTTGTTGCATGGGAAATTTAGGCCGGGTGAGCGGAAAAAGGAGGAAATGTTGGCCGTGTATGTTTGTTGTCTGCGCATTTCAATTGGTTTCGCATTGTGCCAGCGCGTAATTGAAAACTTAAGCAGCAACCGTAAAGCGACGCGCGCTTCCAATTTGGCAATCAACAAGCGAGAAAGTACAAAAGCCAGCGCCGCATCCTGTGCCGCTGCCTACACATCCTGTGGCCGGCCACGCCCACGCAGGCCACATTTAGCAGTGTGTTGCAGAACATTCATTAGCTGCGAGTATCTTTAATCGCATGCAATTTGTACAGCCAACACACGGAACTTGCTAATTTTCACGTCGTTTTGGCGCCAAAAGCAACCGCATGAAACGGCCGAGCAAACGCTTCTCGGCAGAAGGTTGGCAGGTTGTCCGGAGAGGTTGGAGGGGGGTCAGCCGCGAAGGTGCAGTGCTCTTAATTGCAGCTTGTTTCTTGCATGTCGCGTAAACTTTTTGTGCACCTACTTACAATTACACGCCTCATGACCTATAGTTGGAGGGTATATCAACTTTATAAACTCGCAGTATGCTTTTTACCAGTGCGGCAAAACGAGAGTTTTTAAGAAAATATGAAAAAAAATCTCTCAGATTTATTTCCAAAACACACATTTCCCAACCTGAGATTTCAGCCTGCATTCTTACTTTCATACATTTTATTCAGGTTTAAGAGCTTTGGAAAGCGTTCTTCTATTCTCGAACTTAATGAGTAATAACTTTTAATACTACTTATCAGTGCTTTACGGAAACGCGACAATATTTACTTTATAATTAATTAACCATAATTAAAACTCATTTGTTGGCCATATCTCAACGAGTCCCCGTTAATTGGGCAGGCATTCTATTACATCTGTGTACTCTAAGGCAATGGTTTTACTCTAGATAGGAAACATATTTATATATATCAGTTTTGATTTAATAGTTGGTGTAATGGTCAAAAACCAGATTATTTATTATTTCTTTGGGAAATTTTGCAAAAGATCATTCAGCAGTCGTTGGTTTTTCTTTGTTGGGCTTTAATGTTTCCATGCAACGAACGTCGCGTGGCAAAAATTAATTGCCATGTAAATCGCGAGGGCAGCAAACAGAAATCAAAGCGGACACGAACAGAGCAAAGTGAATTCCTTTCAGAACGTGCTGAAAGTGGCGAACTCTAAGGCAATGTTGCAACTCAAACACGAAGATTACATAGGAAGCGAGTAGTTTAGGCATTAGCATTAGCATTAGTTAGTTGCCAATTCGTCCGATATATTAACTTAGAAACAGATCTCTCACACAGCCTAGTCTGGTTGTTATAGCGCGATTAACAGTAAATGATGAAAAGTGCCTTAATGTGCGACAGACAACAATCAGTAAACAACAACAAAAACAACTGGTTTTAAGCCACGAATCTCTTGGAATGGTCAAAGCTATGCAACAAGTGCCAGCAATTGGCCAAGTTGATTCCAACTGAGACTGGGCCGCGCCGGGTAAGACTCAGTACAAGAATCTGTCGCCAATTTTGGCAATCTGCACTAAATTGTCCATTTATGTGAACCTGACATGGACACACGATCTCTCTCTCTCTCTATCTCTATCACTCTCTCTCTCTCTCTCTTTCTTGCTGTCTCTTTCCGTTGAGACGTTGTTTGCAATCAATCTCCGCAGATTTACACCTCTGCACAGCCTCAGAGCTGGCTATTTATGAGGCCAAGGCGCAATCCAAGCACCAGGCAAGGGCGTTAGCATTCGACATTTTGTTTAGGCGGTGGCAACTTGTTGCTGCTGTTGTTGTTGATGACGCCGTGACGGGCTTCAAGTTACATTTGATGTAACTTAATTCTTGCATTAAAATGTATTCATTAAAAGCTGTCATTTGCCTGCCGTTACTCACGTCTCTTATTGCTGTTGTTGTTGTTTTTGTTTCGGCCGCAACCGCAGGAAAAACAAAATAAATAAATAAATAGAATGAAAAGCTTGTGGAAAAAGTCATGCAAAATATTTAGTACAGTTAACCTACCGCAAAAATTCAAACAAGAAATAAAAGCAACAAACTTTCTCAACAACATTGTTGCTAGAGTTGATTGTTGGGCAAACATTTAAAGACAACTTTTCAATGTTCACTTCAGCCAACAAATACACATCACATGTGAGAGTCTCGTGGAAAGATTTTAATTTGGTAATTCAAGCGTGGAAAAAGTGATTGCTAGATTTAAAAAAATTACTCATTGTATCTTTTGATTCGCTTTTTCAATGTAGACAGCAAATATCTTGAAAAGAATCATTTTTAATTGTTTACAAACAGATTAAATTACATTGTGAAATAACTTTTATTTATTGTTGAAAATGTCCAAGGTATGATTCCATTTTTCTTACGACACTTTTCAAAAGTTATCCAAAACTTCTTGCTTTTTTGTACTAGCGCGACAATACTCCTTATACCCTGTACCCCTTTGAAAATTGAGCATATTAAAGGGTGTATCGGTTTTGTCCGAATGTATACAATAGTTAGAAGGAGGAATGTCGGACAGCATAAAGTACATATATATCCTTGATCTGGACGACGAGCTGCGTCGATTTGCCTTCTGTGTGAAAGCGTCGATGTCAGAAACTATAAAGGCTCGAGACTGCTAAATTGAAATATATATGATTTTATACCACACACAGAACGAGTTTATCTCTATATATAAAACTTTTTGTCCTAACTGACTGACTGACTGATTGTTGATCAACGCACATCCCAAACCGTAAGAGCTAGGAAGCTGAACTTTTCACTGTAGTTACCTTATTTGATGAAGGTTTCGGGAAATTCCTTCCTCAAGTATCGAAAAATCGCGAATAACGTTTGGATGAAACTTTTTTTGTTCAAATTCATGGATTTTTTTGAAAATTCATCCCACCCTCGTGGAAATGGGTGTCAAAGATTTGGTGAGTGACATTCCGTTTCAAATTATTTTCTAAAGATATATATAAATAATCATTTGGGACGTGTTTCACACTTTTCGCAGAATCCAGACTTCTCCGGTAAAAATTAAATTTAAGTTTTGTCCAATTTGCTTCAAACTATTTTCAAAGCTCTACATAAGAACTTGGTGAATACGTGTTTCAGCGATTTCGGAAATTCCACCCGCAACAGTGGAAAATTGGCGGAAAACGCTTGTATGAAAGGACGGGTTATACCCGCTATATACATATATTTATATATATACATATATTCGATAGAACCTTGCCCTTTGGTATATGCACACATTTGGTTGCAACATTTATGCCCTGCAAATTGTATATAGACCATAAACACCGCTATTCAGAAATATTCTCTTAAGGTGTGGAGCAAAGTGACGAAACATAGCTCCAGCGGTTGCTTTTTGTACCCTGCAACGATTAAAATGGGTAAAATGGGCATTATGTATTTGTGCCAATGTATGTAACAGGCAAGGGGAAGCATCTCCGATAAAGTATATATATTCTTGATCAGCATCAATAGTTGAGTCGACCTACCCATGCTCGTCCCTCTTTCCGCCCGTCCTTATGTATGAACGCAAGGATCTAAGAACCTATAAGAGCTAGAGAAATTTGGAATGTAGCTAAAGCTCTCCACCAAACCAATTTGTATAGCCCACCAATTTAAGATCTCTTGTTAAAAATTGCATCAAGATCTGCTAAGAAACACATAAATTATTAAAGAAAAATTGTGGTTATACAGAGTAAGTCAAGAAACTGTTTTGACAAAGAGAAAACTTCATTTTTTCTAGAATAATATGCAATTTAAACTACATTTTTTATATGTTTTTATTTTTACATATTTTATATCGATTTGTTATCTTTCTTAGAATTAGTTAAAAAGTTAAAATAAGGGAACTATATTTTTTTGTTCATTTAATTTTATTACTGCTAGAGCAAACGAGCTAATGTTCTCAGCAGAGGGTTCAGGATCCCGCCTAGTCGGGAACTTCCGACTAGAGGCTCTTACTTGTCATGGGTGTGTCTTTATGTGATAGCTCGGCGCGACTAGAGAACACCTGATTGTTTTGAAATTAAATATGAATATTAAAATGCGTTTCTTTGCCAATTATTTCGGTAGGCATTGTATTATTATATTAGCCTTAACTAACCCAAATCGTTTGTTGGACACGCCTCTTCCAATAGATTGATTGTGCCTCTAATTTGATAGGCACTCGTCAATTGCGCAACGATTAAGATTAAGAGCATGTGTCTGGTTTTGTGAGATATTTGCAATGAGCTGCAGCCACGTTGCAAGTGCCACAGCTGGCACCTTGAGGCAACCTTATTAGGATTAGCAACGCCAGCCACTGACGAATCATTTTCGCTTTGTCCGTTTCTGGGAACTGCGCATGAGTCAGGCTCGAGAATGAATATTTAGGCCACTCGCCAGATAAGCTCATGGTTAGTTTATATTTGATGCGTTTCGATTGAAATTGCACAATGCAGCTAATAATTGTAGAATTGGAAAATATTGGGATTTAATGAAGTCCAAATTGGAAAAGCTGAACCCTGCCCAAGAATAAATTTGTTTATGACTTTTTGGTTGATGCGTTTTTCGGCTTCAGTGGGTTTTACGATGGCGACATGAAGGAAGCGCCCACACCACACCACCACACGGCACCACCACTGCGACTTCAATGCGCAGCAATTTGAACCGTTTACGGAAGTTAGCGGGTGGGTTAGACAAGTTACGCTTCATTGGTTTGGCCCGTTCCCAAGTGGATTTTGATGGAGCAGCATTTTTGGGCGATTCAAACAAATTGTTAATTGCTTTTGATTGCTGGTGCGGCACAGCCCACGCCTGCTTCCAAGCAGGCAGCCGCCCAAAACATAACCAATCAATTGAAATCCATGACTGATTCGAACTTTCACTCTTGAACGTCTTTGCAGATGAAATCCAGCAAATGCGAGCTGCACAACTACGCGGACTTGGATATGGAGCCAAACAGCGTTCAGCCTAAAGCGGACTCGCGCAAGCGCAAGGCCGGTACAACGCCGGGCAGTCGACGCGGCGAGAAGTATTCGTTGCGTCAGAAGCGACAGAAGCGCCTGCCCGGCGATCTTTTCGAGACGACGCCCGCGCCTGCCGCAGAGCTGCAGTCGGCAGCGACACCCGCTGCCAAGGCCAAGGCGAAGAGCTCGACCAAAACGAAAGCGCCGCCGCTGAGCAAGTATCGCCGCAAGACGGCCAACGCCAGGGAGCGCACACGCATGCGCGAGATCAACATGGCCTTTGAGCAGCTGCGTCACTGCGTGCCGCAGTCTATTACGGGTGAGGATGCTGCCAATACCAACGAGAAGCTAACCAAGATAACGACGCTGCGTCTGGCCATGAAGTACATTGGCATGCTGAGTGAATCGCTGCAGGATCCCAGCTACGAGAGCGAGTTTTTGGTCGAGTGTTTGCGCGAGAGCGCTAACCGGGAGGCGCATGTTAGCCTAGATACCGAACCAGAGCTGGATTTCGAACTAGAGGTGGAAGCTAAGCCGGCAGTCAAGTCCAAGAAGCCAGCCAAGGCCAACAAAAAAACGCCCACCAAGCGACAAAGCAAACAGTCGAAGGCAGACATTGCAGCAGCCACGCCCAGAACGGCAACTACTACAAGCGCGCCCAGCAGCTCGCCGGAATCGTGTTATGCCTCCTCCTCCGTGGGCTCGCCCACTTTTTGTGTGGCCGCCTGTTCGCCTAGCTCGGCCTATGCGTCGCTGTCCTCAGCCGCCTCTAGTAGCTGTAGCAGCAGCGGCAGCGTCCATGGAAGCGTGGCGCTGGACGCGGACAGCTTGTTGGGCATGCAGGCGCTGAGCGAGCTCAACACATTGCTGCTGGAGTCGGATAGTGATTCGCTGCACTGCCTCAATAGTAGCTACCATCCTGATCTGCTGACGTCTGCAGGCTCTGTGCTGCCTTCACGTGGGGATTTGCCTATATCGATGAACTTGCCACTGGACAAGCCAGATGTAGAGCTAAGCTTGCGACTGTTGGACCACTCGACGGACTCCTTTGACTTTGCCAGCGATCAGCAGCCCTCGGCATGCATCAGCCCTCTGGCCACACTGGACAGCTTTCATCCATTCTCGGATCTGCTGCATAGCGAGTTTCCGGATATATTTCTCACGTGACCAGCAAAGCAGGCAGCCTGTTAGTTTATTAAATAATTAATAATTACTGATAATTGTAGTTTGTTACTTGCTGCGTTTAAGTTTAACCTAGTTTTATAGTTGCGCGATCACCTAACCTCACTTAAGCAATAGCCGCGGAATTCATCGTGTCATAGCAGTCAGGCAGGCAGAGTGGCAGGCAACTGCACATTCATGCTCATAGCAGACAGTCCATGTCCATATGTTTCTCTCGATAACCAAATTAGTCAACTAAGCATTTTTAAAGCATTTTTTTCACACTCTACACTTTAATACAATTTCGAACTGTAAATAAATCACAAATGTTGTTCAATCAAAAAAATTGTACTCCCCTGAAAAGTCTGGCCCAGAGCCCGCAAATATTATATAAATTTTCAGCGACTTTAAGTTAGAATTTCTAGTTATTTATTTATTTATTTATTTTTTCCCCCAAGATGCCTTATGATCCGGAAACGGACTTTCCCGAGGCGTGGAAGCTATGCAAACCCTTTATGCTCACCGACGACCATCTGCTATCAATCCGGAATTCGATGAGCCGTGAGCTACTCAACGGTCTAGTAAGGGACACGCACGACCGCTCGTCGATACCATGTTACCTGAGCTATGTGCAGCATTTGCCAACGGGACGTGAGCGTGGTCGATATCTTGCGCTTGAGATGTGGCCCACAAATTGCCGCATTATGCTAGTCAAGTTCGGCAGCGAGAAGGACGTCTACATGAGCTCAAAGTGCGTCATTGTGCCACATACGATCGCCGCATCGCGTGGCACAACGCTATTCAACTTTCTGGCCCAGAACATTGCGGTCTTTGTAAGGGAGAAAAAGGTTGAGAAGGACAATCTGCCTATGGGCATTGCCTTCGCCTTTGCATTGAACAAGTTGTCCCTGGACGTGGGCATTCTGGTTAGCTGGACCAAGGGATATGGTGCCCAGGGAGCGGTGGGCAAGAATGTGGTGCAGCTGCTGCGTAATGCCCTAGACGAGTACAAGGATATTTCTATAAATCTGAATTCCATTATCAACATCGCTGCCGGCTCGCTCATGGCCCTCGCCTGGTCGCAGACCAACTGTAAGATGGGCCTTATCATAGGCACCGTCACAAATGCCGCCTATGTGGAGCAGAGTGTGGAGTGCGAATTGTATGAAGGCGATGCAAGCGTCCCGCTGATGATCATCAACACCGAATGGAACAACTTTGGTTCCAATGGCCACTTGGACTTTATACGCACCGACTTCGACAAGATTGTCGATGCAGAGTCCAGTAATCCGGGCAAAAGGTATTATGAGAAGTGCATCAGCACCCTATACCTAGGTGAGCTGGTGCGCCTCATTATAGTGCGCCTCATGAATATGGGCGTCATTTTTCGGGAGCACAACCTTGATTATATGGGCATACAGTGGAAAATGGAAATGAAGTCGATTATGGCCATCGATTCGGATCCGCCTGATGTTTATGTTAAGGCCCAGGAAGTCATGGACAAGTTCCGCATGCGCAACTGCCAGGAACGCGATTTGGCCACGCTCCGCTTCATCTGCCAAACAGTGAGCACCCGCTCCGCCCAGCTGGTAGCCGCCGGGGTCGCCTGCCTGATCAATCGCATGAATTATGCAAATATTTCGATTGCTGTCGATGGTGGCATTTACCGCCTGTATCCCAGATACCAGGAGGTCCTCAACAAGCATACCGCAACTTTAATCAATCCCGACTTAAAGTTTGAAATCACCATCGCACAGGATAGTCCTGGCGTGGGTGCTGCCATCGTAGCTGGTCTAGCGTCTACTCTTAACCTCAGACATATATCTAAATCGTAGCCTTCAAATCTATTTACGATATTGATTATCTTCTTATATGTGTATATATAGATTGTTCTTACATATTCCACATTCTTTTTTGATTAATGTCTCGCAAGGAGTATCGATTTCTGAACCAACTGCCCGTGCATCCCCACAGACAGAGTCTGAACAGAGGAAATGAACACGGGTCAGACTATACGTGTTTCGAAATTCAAGCTCTGTTTAATTCCCAATATTTCTTGGTTAAAAGTTACTTATGGCGTAAGATCCCTGGGCATGGAATTAGGACTACATAAACTATGTAATCTGTGGATACTAGATATGTCGATTTTCAAGGCCAATTGGGCAACTTTTGAAACGAAAAACGCTACAGAAGGTTTTTTTCTGAAAAGGTTTCGTAACCATTTTTCAAATCAAGTTACTTCCGCATTAGTTGCTCGAAAATGCTTAGTGTTCGAAAATGGAGATGAATCTGAATGTTATTTTAATTTTAACATCAAGTCGGAACGGACTTAATAAAATTCCAAATTTATATTTACTAACCTAGCGCCCCGCCCTTTGGAAGCTCCTTGGTAATGTCTGATCCAAAGAAGAAGTATCCGGAGGCCTATGAAATATGTGAGAAGTTCATATTAAATAAACAACACATGGACGAGATTGTTTATCGTCTAACCAAGGAAATCAATATGGGTCTCACGCGGGATACACATCCGAGGGCCACCGTTAAGTGCTTTGTCACTTACGTACAGGAGCTGCCCACGGGAAAGGAGCGGGGAAAGTACCTAGCGCTGGATCTAGGCGGTACCAATTTTCGAGTCCTCTTGGTTAATCTGATTAATGAGAAAGATATTGATATTACCGGAAAGACCTATGCCATTAGCAAGGAATTACAGGAGGGTCCGGGCATAAAACTGTTCGACTTTATTGCCAGTTGCCTAGCGGAATTTTGCAAGGAGAATAAAATGGATCAGTCTAATACACCATTGGGATTTACCTTTTCCTTTCCATGCAAACAAGTTGGTATTGACAACGGCACCTTGGTCGCTTGGACGAAGGGTTTCAAAGCCGAGGGAGTTGTTAATCAGAACGTGGTAGAATTGCTCCGGGATGCAATCAAGCGTCGAGGCGACTTCAAGGTCAATGTCGTGGCCATATTGAACGATACGACGGGCACCCTGATGTCCTGTGCATTTAACCATCGTAATTGCAAAATTGGCATGATTGTTGGCACGGGCAGCAACGCTTGCTATGTGGAGAAGACGGCGAATACCGAAACCTTTGATGGCTATCAAAACTCCACAAAGCCCAATATGATCATCAATTGCGAGTGGGGTGCTTTTGGAGACAATGGCGTGTTGGATTTCATACGCACTCCCTATGATCATCAAGTCGACAAGCAGTCAATCAATCCAAAGAAGCAGATCTTTGAGAAGTGCATCTCTGGTATGTACATGGGCGAATTGGTGCGCCTCGTTTTATTGGAATTGATGGAAAAGCAAGTCATTTTCAAGGGCCAAACATCACAGAGCTTTCTAATAAAGGGGAAGTTTGATACTAGCTTTATAACTGAGATTGAGTCCGATCAGCCGGGCTCGCATCGCAATGCCGCCATGGTGATGGATCGCTTGGGCATCAGAACGAATAATGAGAAGGATCTGGAGTGTCTGCGCTTTATATGCGAGACTATATCCACGCGTTCCGCAAGGCTGGCTGCCTGTGGGCTCGTCTGTCTGATCAACAAAATGAATGTCAAGGAGTTGACTGTCGGCATTGATGGCAGTGTATATCGGTATCATCCTCATTACCATAGACTGTTAACGGAAAATATGAATATGCTGCTAAAGGGTTCAGTCAAATTTGAGCTAGTCTTATCCGAAGATGGCTCGGGTCGCGGTGCGGCACTTATTGCTGCGGTGTGCGCTAAGTGAAGTATATATTATTTTGAACCAATTTAAGTATTTTTAAAGTAGATTATTCAGATGGCCCGCCGTTCCATAGCGCTCAGGCTGCGACACGTAGCAGAACGCAACGCAAAACAGAGCATCAGAGCGTTATTAGCGTTTAGGCGGCTTGCTCCACCTAACACACTTTACTCCTCACTCGGCAGGCTTGCGTACGGTTTAAATAAAAATATAGAAACATTTTATAATAAAATTCTGTAACAAAAATTAACAGGAATTAACAGAATGCTAGTGTTCAACTTTGCAAAATAAAATAGCTCAAGTAAATTATCGATACTTTCAATTTTTTGTATTTTTGAATTGGTTGGTTTGGTATTTTGTTGCTTGTGAGTTGCTGCCACACTGCTTACAAGTCTTGGTGGAAAAAATTTAGAATGTACGTAATTTATCACTTGCACGCACATTTGGAAGAAAATTAATTGGAATTTCATAGGTATGCACTATCCAGCACTCTTGTGCGCTCACCAGCGCTGCGTCAAGGACTCAAGGTGGCCGCGGCTACCCGTCAGGTTTCGTTGAAAGTCGTCTCTGTCGGCTCAACCATCAAGGATGAGAGCTTCTTTGAGAAGAATGAGCGGCTGGGCCGCCAGATGTCGCCTCACCTGACCATCTACAAGCCGCAGCTCACCTCCATGCTGTCTATCATGCACCGCGGCACCGGCCTGGCTCTGGGCATAGGCGTTTGGGGCTTGGGGCTGGGCGCACTCATCGCCTCGCAAGACATCGGCCATTATGTGACCATGGTGGAGGGTCTGCAGCTCAGCGGCGCCGCCTTGACCGCCATCAAGTTCATCATCGCTTATCCGGTTGGCTATCACTCGGCCAACGGCATACGCCATCTGATTTGGGACACGGGCCGTTTCCTGAAGATTAAAGAGGTCTACTCCACCGGTTATGTAATGGTCGCCACCTCCGTTGTGCTGACTGCCATCTTGGCCCTGTTGTAAATGCTCCTCCAACAATCGGAGCTAAGTGTTAGTGGACCTTAATTAAATTTTAGTGCGAACATGTCTATTATTTGATAAATGCATACATAATACATGTATAGTTTATTTATATGTATCTTCATTTTGCTCTGTTATGCAACAACTGTCGCCGACCTGTTTAGTACGTTTTTATTTGTCAGTGCCTGCAATTTGGTAGATATCGTGTTTTGTGCTAATAGCCAGCTCAATTTGTTAGCCATTTAGCTACCCAGCTAGAAATTTGATATCGTAAGAACTTATAAAAACACATACACTACCATTTGCATGGGGCATTATTATTATACTTGGCTCGGCACAGATATACAAATATTTACATTGCAGTGAGATAAACAGAATCTTTATATAAATTGAATGAGTTTATGTATAAAGAAAGTTATCTGTTTCGCATGAACTTCACACTTATATGTTTATATAGAATTTGTAAGGCTTAGTTTATTATTCAAGACAAGAACGAACTGTTTTATGATTAACACAATATACAATGACGATAGAAAACTTCGTGCAAAAGTTCAGTGTGAAATGTCAACCGAAAACGTTTTATTTTTTTCATAAGATTTCAAATTGGAATATATAGACATTTATTGAAAGCAAACAGGTCTAGGTCATTGTGGAATTTACTAATTGTTATGCATTTGCACAGATTTTTCATTTGTAAGATAGTTTCACAATACCCTGGCAAAGCGTTTTACAAGATTGTGACAAAGGAAAAATCTTACACTCGATATATCAACTATTTGTATAAAACTGTCCTGGCTGACTGGGCAATATTAGCTGTAGTTGACTTTTCGTAACTCTAGTGTGGAAAATAGTAAACGGATGTATACTTATTTGTGCTTACCATCAAATTCACTCAAGAGACACTTTCGAAAAATTCACTTCTCCGAGCGAAAGTTAATTATTATTACGAAAAACGTTTATTCCAAATGTTGGCTCTTAATTCAATAGACTTCAAATTGATTTGCAAATATCTTTGTAAAATGGAACTAAAAACTTTGTTTAAGTTTGTCAAATAACTTTGCACAGCATAGCTTTCCCTTTGAATGACTGGATACTTTATCTACCGAGGATTGCATGTTCTTTCTATAAGAAACTTATTAGAAAATATGAAAAATATTTGCAAGGATTATCAGATAGCGTCACAAACACAATGGATACTACAAAGTTACACTCGTTTATTTGTGAAATTTGAATTCATTTAGGTCAGAAAATGTTTTGATGTGCAACAGTCATAAAGTTTTGTATGTACATGCAAGTGGCTAAAATGTATCTAATAACTAATATCACAATTTATGATGTAATTGCTGTACGTTTAGTATGTGCTCCTGTGCTCCTGTGCTCCTTCACTACTGTATGGTGCCATGCGATTTGTTGTTGCCCTCCGAACGGGGCTCATCCAGCAACTCAAAGTCACAGACTAGTGAGAAATGATCCGATGGATATTGAAAACTGGGCGTACGATTTTTGCCGATCTGTTCTCCGGCTGGAAATTCCAGGCAGTTTTTGATCTGCGTAAAAATGTATTAAAATTCGAGTTACTAATGTTGACTTCTGTCACGTCCACTTACTTTAAGCTGCTGAGGCGTGTAGAAGACATAGTCAATGGTGTGGCATTCTTCACCATCCTCGCGGATTTTCCAGGTGGTGTATGGCGGCTCACGCTTAATTGACTGCGAAATGAACTCGTTCGGATCCTCACAGCTCGAAGTGAACTGCTGTTCCCGGTCCTGTTCCCGTTCACGTTCCCGTTCCAGCTGCATATCCGCATAGGCGCTGCTCAATTTGAAGAGATCGCAGCCTAGGATCGTTGCATAGATGGGCTCAACAGGCTCCGCGTTGAAGTCGCCGCACAACAGGAGCGGACTCCCGCCGGCAAACTGCTTGACAAAGCGGATCAGATCGCGCCCCTGCTCGTTGCGCAGCTTGGCCAACAGGGCGCCATGGCGAGCCTTCAGATGTGTTGTGCAAACACAAAACTCATTGCCGCTGGACTTCAGCTGTAGCCGAGCGGCAATGGCCACCTGGTTGCTCTGGACACGCCAGACCTCAAGGATGCGCGTGTCATAGCCGAGCAGCTGGAGCTTGTCGCGCTTGTAGAATATGGCACAGCCATCGGGTCCATTGTTCTGCTCTATATACAGACACGGCGAGTCCGGCTTGGGAAAGAAGATGCCAGCATAGTTCTGGCTGCCCAGCACAGTCTGCAGAAATTTGAAGTGATCCACCTCCTGCATAGAAATGTTGATATTAAAGCGCGACTGCATTACGTTTGAGTATGGGCGTGAATAAATACTTGCAGACAAACCACATCCGGCTGGTTCTGTAGAATCTCCTGGACAATCAAATACTTGCGATGCTGCCAGGTCAAAGCCTCTTCGGGGCACCGCACAAAGCCGTCGTTGTGCTGACCGAGAGCTACAAAAAAAAAAAAAAAACAGAAGATATTGCCACAAATTATAATAATTTTTTAATTTTTAATTAAATGATTTATTACTATATTTCAATTAAATATCCCCTGGAACATCTCGTTTTTTGGAGTGCAAATGAAACACGCTTTCCAATTTATCTTCACATTTTTCCTTGTTAGAATATAAGTTGTGAAAAACTAATCAGTTTTTGAATTTTATTTTCCACTTTTAAATATTTAAAATACTAAAATATATTATTACTTTTCAATTTCACTTACTTTGCGAGAGAATGTTCCACTGTAGCAACCGTATATTCTGCGTGCCATCGTTCTCATCTGGAGCACTGCAAACTGTGAGCGAAATTCATAGAGAATCCATGTAGGACATGCGATCTATTAGCACTTACCACGTGAGACGGAGTTCAGCTTGAGACAACGCATACCATCGGTCACATCCTCGCTAAGCGGCAATGGCTTTAGGAAGCAGCGGCTGAGCAGCGAGGGCTGATCGATGCCTCCGCCTCGTAGTTGCTGCACATGCTCGAGCAGGGCGGCGGTGCTCAGACCCTTGGGCAACTCCAGGCCATCATCCTGGGAGTCCACATTGTTGATCTTGGGCGCCGAGTTAAAGGAGCCCATCCTAAGATGAAGATTAGTATTTTTAGTATAAAACTTAGAAACTGTTAATTTTGATTGAACTTCAAATTAAGATAATGATCGTGCTCAAAAATTCTCCTTTCGAATCTATTTGCTAAGGCAAAAATATTAAATGTACAATTAAAAAAGAAAATTATTAAGAAGAAATATTTCAGTATTTTCATAATTTTTATATTTTCTTTGCAATTCAATCGAATCTTCAAAATATGATGCACGACGAACACAATGCTCACAATCCTATAGCAATAACAAGAATAGTAGCAACAATAACCATGACAGCAAACAAGAATCAAATGAATAATAACAATTACAATAACAATTGGCTTTTTTTACAGCATTTGTAGAAAAGATTTGATCAACCTTCTTACGTAAATACTCACAACTCATTCGGGTTTCTAAAGAGAATTTTTCGTAGTATTATGCTGAAAATGAACAAACTATGACTATGCCTTTGGCTGACGTAGAACTTTGCCATAGAGCTTTGAACTCTGCTGAAAAGAATATTTAATTGAATCTTTAGCTAAATAGTTGGGAAATTTATAGAACAGAAATGGTTTGTGGCATGTGTTTGAAATGTAGCTTTGGAGCATTAGAAGCAGGCACAAAATATTGATCGGGGAATTGAAGAACGAAGGTGGGAAGAAACTTATGTAAAACAACCCCAGTCTTTCAGGAAATTCTAGTTTAAAATAAGTATAATATCGTTATTATTTTTGCCAAATGCAAATGTAGAAGAAATTCGGGAAAAATTATTTCCAAATTTTTTGTCAAGTTGGTGAACTAAATAATAATTATTATATTATTATAGCGTTCTTTGAAACTTTATTAATTGCGGCTGCTATATGAATAATGTATATCAACTGGAATTTTTATTTTTTTCAATCAATTAATTATAATAGAATACTAGTTACTGTAAATGTTGAATATACGTCCCTGCACAGTATTTATGTCGAATGTGGTCAATGTGATTTTAAATTCATCAAAAAAATTAATAAGAAGAAAGTTTACTTTATTCTGGTGTTTACGTTAAGCTTCGCCAAGTTCAATAGGACCGTAAACTTTATGAACATCATAATTTGTGAGCTTAAAATATCAAATGCCATAAAATGATTTTGTTAGCAAGTTTGTGGCCGATATATTTGGGAAAAACTGAGTAAGTGCGCATGAGTGTGATACCAGCTTTCACAAGCTAGAGAACTCGATTCATGCCCACCCACGCAAAAATCTTCGGACATGCCGAGACGTCGCATGCGGCTTAAAAAAAAAACAGACAAAAAGTCGCTCGGTCAATAGCTTTACAGCTGTTTAGCTGGTTTTCGGGCAGCGCGCGCATAACGATTATAAACCAGTTGGAAGCGTTTGGCAACGCAATCAATCAATAGATTGGTGATTTCGGGTCTCACCTGGTCAGCATCACCCTTTGCAGGAAGGCCTTGCGGTCGTTCTTGCAGGGCGCCTTATTGCTGCGATTCAATTGCATCGCTTGCTCCATGTGGCCGGCAGGATCAGAAGCCAGTTGTTATTGTGGTTGTGTTTGTGGTTGGTGGTGGTGGTGGTAATGGTGGTTGGGATTTGGGTGAGCTTTGTTTGGATTGTGGGTTTTGCCGAAAATTGTGCGAAGTGCGCTTGTAAGCAACATTTGCGAAACTGAATGGCAACTGAAATGCGGCGTTTTATTAGAGATCGGCCAGACAGACACAGAAGAGAGTGAGCGAGGCAGGGAGAGAAGGAAAGAGAGAGAGAGAGAGAGAGAGAGAGAGAGAGAGAGAGAGCAAAGACGCATGAACGAGTATTTCAGCATACACACACACATACGCACACCCAGTCAAGCGCACACACAGTGAGATGTATCTGAGTGATACAGAACAAGATCAATATGTTCTACTCACGTGCGTTGCTCAGTTGGGCAAAAAATGAGCAGCGTAACAATAACAACAGCAGCAACGTGAACAACAACAATAGCTTCGGATACATCGCAAACTGGCAGCTTGCTAAATATTTATGCGTAAAAATCTTTATGTAGATACATTCACATGGAGCTGCACGCCATTGTCTCGCTTTCGTTTTGTATTGTAATGAAAACAAAAGTACGGCTGGACATGGGAATCGCTCGACTGATTTATGCTTAAACAAATTTTCTTCGCATGCAAATTTCGCAGACACTCGGCGGCCTGAAATGCGCATATTCGGCATATCTGCTCCCATATGCTGCAGGCCAAAGATACAGATACATATTCGTATCTTATGGCATAGGCGAGCGCAATTTATGCAACGGCGCAGTTACATGCGTAATGAGTGGCAGCTGGCAAATGCGCCAAGTATCTGTTACTTAAAGATACTGTATCTTTTTACCTGGGTATAGGCACCGCTACACGCCGCGCAAACGTCTTCGATGTGACAATCAAACGCGATGTTTTCATTAAAAACTCCATTTTGTTTGATGTGGTTTCTCTGTTTCTTGGATTAAATATTAGGCAAGCGTCTTTTTTATTTTTAATTGATTGGTTTGATTTTGATTTGTATTAGGTTAACTTGAAATGTTTTATATTAAGTGTCAATATGGCAATGTCAAAGAGACGCGGTTCAAGCTGTATTTCCTAAAAGAATAGATTAGAATAGAACAGTGAAAAATATGTAAGCATTAGTCGGTTAGTTTAAGACAGGCGGGAGCGGGGGCGGGTTTCGCTTGGCTATGTAGAGCCACTTGCTAAACCACTTGCAATGCGCCACAGATACCACAACAAATGTTATCATTAGCCACGTGACTAGCTCTAGAAATTGCCAATTTGAATGTTGACACGCAGCTGTAGCTGCATTTTAATTTCAGATTATATAGTATCATACGTAGTTTGTCGAAGAATGCCCGAAATAAAACACTAAAACCAGTTCTAAATTAAGAACTAGCTGTCGAGTTCTATGAAAAAAAAAGCCTTATTATATAAGTTCTGTCTAAAGTGTAAAGTTTTTATAAGACCCGCTGCTATAAATAGTTAATATCTGCTATTTACAAGTCCTCCTTAAAATACTCGTATCGTGGCGTGAGTCAACACTGTTTAAATATTTTTCATACACGTACGAACGTGTATTATAAAGTATATGCTTTGGAAAATATTAGGAGAAGAGACGAGCATATTCTTATTTAATTAATAATTAATTGGGCTGCGCTAAAAACCAAAACGAAATGATTTGTCTGATGTTTTTTTTACATAGCTTTTTAAGGCGCAGGTAAAACAAACTATGTTCATCATTATAAAAGGTTTGACTATAGCCGTGTAGTATTTATAGATAAATTCAGATATGTAGATAGAAGACAAATAAGCTTATTTCAAGCACCGTTAACTCAGTTAGCCCAGTTTATCGATAAGAAAGGCAAGTCTTGTAAATGTTATTCATAAATATTTTTCGCATGAATTGAGCAAGGTTAGTTATTTTTTTTGATTGAAGCCAAGTTTACTGGGGCCTGACAATGCCTAAGAACACTTGACATTCTGTCAGTGTTAGCCATGAACTTGATTTATAAGCGCAACTGCCGCTGGCTACCAATAGCGGCAACAACTTAGCAACAGCAAAAAAAAAACAACTAACAACAACAGCAACAACAACAACATCAGCAACAAGTTTTGACAGTCAATGTTTGTGTATGGAGCACGCCCGCTCGCGTTTATCTCTCACCTCACAAGATACAACAGCAATTCTCGCGGCGGCGGCGACTCATAATCAGCGATTGGCGGCAACGTGTCTCCAGCAGCAGCAGCAGCAGCAGCAGCAGCCGCAGCCTCGTTGCTGGGTGTGGTCAGCCAGGCTGGCTGAGTGCCCGCCGCCTGGGTCTCGATTTCCATTTCCAGTTTGCGCGCGGCGAGACGCTGTTTCATTTGAGTTGTCGAGGTCATTGCCGAGGTCTTGGCCAGCGCTTCCGCAATTTCATATTGCTTCAGGAAATCCTGGCGCAGCTGCTCTGCATCCTGTGTGGCCAGGCGGCCAGACAAACTGAGGCCATGTCGGCACTCATCGTTGCACAAGCGCTGGCACATCTCATTGATGGCCAGGCCTGGACCACATAAGCCCTCTGGCGTACGCTGGCTACAGTTGAGGCAGGGCATGTCCGCCTTGGCATCGCCAAGCAGCTCTTGATCTGCGTAGTGCGGCGGCTCTGGCATATTGTTGTCATTGGGCGAGGGTGGAGGCTGCAGCTCCTCTGCAATGTTAAAGTAACGCGGCGGCGGCTCATTCTCAATCTCATCCGCATTAGCAGCTGCGCTGCGTGCATGGCTCGCCTTGTTGGTCTCCGCGAGATTCAGATTGAGCAGCAAGGCTGTCACGGGCATGGCCTTGCCGAGCGCGGGCTGACGACGGTGGCCCAGGCGCTGATCGTGCTTATCATTGTGACTGTTCATATTTCTTAACACTTTTCAACACTTTATTTTAACTCATTGGCCACGCGGCGTATGCGCAATTTTCGAACAACCGTTGCGCGTTTAGAACCGAACATCCAATGTGTTAATACGCGCGTGCGTTGCTTTTCCTTATTTATATATCTTTGGCCCGCTCTAGCCAGATCGAGGCAATCAAGTGGACGCTGCCTCGCTGCCTCAGTGTCTCGCTACAAGTTGCCCCGCTGCTCATTTATTGAGCCAGTTGTTGCTTATGTTGCTGTTGTTGCTTCTTGTTGTTGTTGCTTGCTCTTGTTGTTATTGTTGTTGTTGTTGTTGTCGATGTTGTACAGTCATAAGTACATGATTTTGTTTCTCTCTGGCTGTGCGCTCCTCTAGTTAAGGCAAACGAGATTTTGTGCGCGCACTTTCCAAAATGTCAAAACACAAAATTAGCAATAAAATAAAGTGAAACAAAATAACAAAAGTGCTGCCTACAATTTTTAATTTGCTATTTTTATATATCACTTGCTTTCTTTGGTTTAAACAAATTATTATTTTCGGTAGAGGCGTTCGCCAATCGCATCTCATAACATTGACTCTAAGCCCTAGACTTGAGTTGACAACACAACGATTTAAATCTACAACTATCTGATGATTAATCCATCTATATACTATATGCAGCCTATATAAGATAACAAGGCATCAGGACGGATTGACAGCTGTTCAACTTTGTTGCACTTAGCTAATGATAAATGTTTCACTTAATTAACACTTTGTAAGTTTTGTAAAGTGCATTTGTGCGTCGAATTGCCAACCGTAGACCCACATGTTTAATTTGCCACGCTCATAAATCTTGTTATATTTTCAAGCCTCACTTCTCAACCTGCTATTGCTGCATGCTGGCTAATTTATAAAAATATAGGCTATCATTTCAATATTGTAATATATGCGAATATACTATTATTTTATTTGTCCTTAAAGACCGTAAATAATAGTTATAAGCCCGAATTCTATTCAGAATATTGTTGCAAATATTATAATATTAATTTGTAGATATGTACATGAAGCAGTCAATATCAGAGAGTCTGATCACTCTGAATATATTTATATTTAATTTAATTTATATGATCTAATAATATGAAAACGTTTGTTTCCGCAATATGCAATTGCAAAATTTCTATGAATGCATGTGCTAATAAAACGAATGTACATATATTTATATATACAAGCACAGTAAGACCTCGCGAATTCTAACCACAAATAAAAACGAGAAGGAAAGGCTATCTTCGGCACGCCGAAGATCTAATACCCTTGCAGACCCAACCTTTTCATAATGCTTATAGTGCTTTGCTCGTATCTAAGAAGTACAAGGAAAATAGTTAATGTCGAGTTTGGTCAAAATATCTTGATAAACAACAAAAGTTTTTAATCAAAAATCTAGTTTTCGACCGATCGTTCCTATGGCAGATATATGATATAGTAGTCCGATGTAAATAAGATTTTGCAAAAATGAAGGGAGCTAAGTGAAATCTTTAAATGCCGTGTTTAATCAAAATATCTTGAATTACAAAAAAGTTTTCCTTACAACAACTTTTATTTCGACAGATCGTTCCTATGGCAGCTATATGACATAGTGGTCCGATCCAGCTGGTTTTAACATATGTGCTGCGTTCAACAGAAAGAGGGACTTCTGCAAAGTTTCATAAAGATAGCTTTAAAACTGAGGGACAAGTTCGCATAGAAACAGATAGACGGACAGACGGACATGGCTATATCCAATCGGCTGTTGATGCTGATCAAGAATATATTTACTTTATGGGGTCGGAGATTTCTCCTTCTATGCGTTACACATTTCACGACAAAATGAAAATACCCCCTGCAAGGCTATAATAAAATTATAATATGAAAGCCTTTGTTTCCGCAATATGCAATTGCAACATTTCTATTAATGTATGTGCTTATAAAAAGAATGTACATATATTTTTATATACACGCACAGTAAGACCTCGCGAATTCTGACCACAAATAAAAAAAAATTGCCTTAACTAAATTATTCTTTTTATGTACAGTGATTCTCAAAATTAGGCTATATAAATACTGTACGAATATTAGGCAAATGATCTCGAATTCAAATGGAGTTTTATAGCAATTATTATATTTGTGCAAATGTATTTAGCAGGCAGAAGAAAGCATCTCTTAGGTTTTAAGGGCTGGAGTGATCAAACTTGATATTAGCTTCTAGAATAATATATACAGATCAAGTATCTTTTATTTTACAGATACCTCCACTCCAAAGCTATAACGCAATTAAACATACCAATTTTAACTATCAACCGTTTAAGCCATAATTTTAATGCAATTGTTCTCCTGAGAGTATATATTCTATTGCACTGAAAAACTTTCATCAAGATCAGTTATGCAATACAGAAGTCTATCTTAAATGATAAGGTGTGCTTATGTTATATTGACACGTGTATGCGGCGGCTAGTGCAAATTGCAAGAATTTTCGTATACAAATACACACATTCATGCGCGTATTTATTGAATTCTATAATCAGCATTGCAATTGCGATCGTTTGTTTTCTATGCTATGACTCTGTGTTGCTGCTTCAGTTCGTTTTTTTTGACCGCACGGTTTCTAGTAGTGCGGCCAGTAGGCATGTGAGGGGAGCTATTCTTCTTTTTATACCCTTGTATATGTGCATTCGTTTTATTAGCACATACATTAATAGAAATGTTGCAATTGCATATTGCGGAAACAAAGGCTTTCATATTATTATTTTATTATACCCTTGCAGAGGATATTATAATTTAAGCGTACGCATAGAAGGAGGCATCTCCGACCCCATAAAGTATATATATTCTTGATCAGCATCAACAGCCGAGTCGATATAGCCATGTCCGTCTGTCTGTTTCTATGCGAACTTGTCTCTCAGTTTTAAAGCTATCTTATTAAAACTTTGCAGAAGTCCCTCTTTCTGTTGCACGCAGCACATCTGTCAAAACCTGGATCGGACCACTAGATCATATAGCTGCCATAGGAACAGTCGGTCGAAATTTAAGTTGTTGTATGAAAAACATTTTGTTTATCAAGATATCGTGCCCAAACTCGGCATTAACTATTTCCCCTGTGCTTCTTAGATACGGGCAAAGCACTATAAGCATTATGGAAAGGTTGGGCCTGCAAGGGTATTAGATCTTCGGCGTGCCGAAGATAGCCTTTCTTTCTCGATTCATATTACTGATAAGGCAAATGAGCTTGTAGCGCGAGCTGGCTTGGAGGGTTCAGGGTATCGCCTCTTACTTGTTTTATTTCGTATATTTACCAATTTAAATTTGTAGAATTTAACAACACCCGAAATGTAAAGAATTCAGAGTGATTTCGTGTCTCAAAATAAAAATAAATATAAGTTACTAAATGTGTTGTCTACTTTGCGGCTGCCGATCAAAAATTCTTATTCTTGCAGTCGCTCAAATATATTAGGCAAAATATTTTAGGTGTTTACGATGTTTGTTTAGCTAAGGTAATGTACATACCCCAAGGTGGTCTGGACGTGAAACCCTTACTTCCTACTCTGCGGTATTAGTCAGCCCTAAGTCATTTAGCAGCCTGGTGCTAACTGCAGATAACACATTTCTTATTTTATTTTGATGTTGTTCTTCTTTCGTTGTTTTTTTTTTTTTTTTTTTGGCAATCTAGCACGGAAAGCTAAGCAAAATTAACAAGAGCAGCGTCCGTCATTGAGTTTTATTTATATGTCCCAAATATATATGTGTGCAAATATAATGTTTGCATGTTACTATATATATATATATATATACATATGTGTAAAGTCTAGCACGTCTAGCAGTCGTCAACATGTTGAAATGTTTCGACTGTTTCATACAAATGTTACATGAACTTGGCAGTGAGCGGACAATTCTCACGGCAGCTTAATAAAGGTGTGTGGGGGTGCGCCCAATTACAACAACGGAGAGCGGTTGGCGGGGCGCACAGCCTAGACACCTGCGCCAAGCGAGAGGTGATCGATCGTCCTTCACTTTGCCGAACTTTATGTAGATTTGTTTGGGAAACAAAATAAAGAAAAACAAATAAATTCCCATGCGACGCATCGTCGTCAGCTTTAATTGATAGCCTTATCAGCAGACGGTCTGTGGGAACACTTGGGCAATAGGGCAGCTTGACTAGAGATACCCTATATGTTAGGGCATTAGATAATATAAACAAAAGTGAGACAGTTACTGCAGAAGATTAAAAAGTATAAATATTTAATATTAATTACAAAAAGAAGAAAAGACCTTGAATTGTAGTTCTATGAAATAGTTTATGAATAAGAAAAGCTAATCTCATGTGTTGCATATTCAGTTTGATTTTGCGATTACAACAAATTAATGCCCTTTACGGTGATAGTAAGTGTATATATAAATATACATATATATATATATAAAAGATCAACAGCTGCACTAGACGCCTATAGTATATATACGCAGTGTGTAAGTACCCCTTGTTTCGCGAGTGAAACGAACGAGATATTTCGTTATACAACAGCAGCATTGGGGCACATGGTCGGACGCACATATCTCGATTTGGAAAAAACTGGTTCTGTACCGGCGTAGACTGAAACTGTCCGCCTGAAGTTGGTGGGCTCCGCAACTACTTTAACTATGCCATGTACGATACACGGGTGGTCGTAACGCATTTGCAAGTGGTTCGGGTTCGGGCAGCTGGTTGGTTTTTTTGAGTTTGCAGAACTTAAACTCACCATTTTTATGCCAGCACCTCGCCACAGAACATTGTCCAAATTGGGGATAAATATTTGGTTTAAGTGCAAGCGAATGCAGTTCGTTCGCGAGATTCACAGGATTTGCGTTAAACTGTTGTCAAATTGGCTCTTTTGGGGCCCTATTTAGCGATCTGTCAGCGATTCAAACGCGCCGCCAAACCTCAAAGAACTAAAAGCAACAATTGTTGCTCTGCGCCATTTATAGGGCGATCGATCCCGCTCTCCGCTCGCCATATTGCCATGCTGATAAGGATACAGTGTGCTTCATACTCTATTGAGTACCGAGTACCGAGTACCGAGCGGTATTGTTGCTGTGCCAGCTACAATACGATGTATATATTGCACAATTCAACAGTGAGCAGCGGGCTTACAATATTCTCTCATTTAACGCAGTCTCTCTCACTCTCTCTTTCTGTCTCTTAGTGCGACTATCTAACAACACATTTAGTTTAAGTTCAGTAGCTCATTCTCTCAGCGTCTGTAAGACAAACAAATGTTGTAAGAGGCAGCCCTTTCATACGCTCTTAGGTGGTTGAGGCTGAGTGTGTGCTGAAACACCTCTAGATATTAGATATAAAAACATAGAAATTTTACACAGTTAAAATAGCCTATAGCTAAGAAAACGCTGTCTTTGACTAAAATAAATTATTATTGACAAATAATCAACCAACAATCGGAACAAAATAAACACATTTTTTTTATTGAAATATACATATAAGACAATCTCGAAATACAACTGGAATATATATTCTCTTCTCTTTTCTCTCTTTTTCGCCACAATACAACACTGGTATTAACCGCATCAACAAATTGCACCTGATAACAGTCACTTAAAGATGTTTCGCGCGTCTGGACCTGAGGCTCTAATGTCTGGCATGGCGCGTATCTTATCAAGGACCACACGAGCGGCAACTTAGCAGTGCGCCACTTGAAATTTGCAAATGGAATTTGTCATCGGCATTATCGACTATTTGCCATAGAGTGGCCCAGTAATATTTACGACCCAGCACCGCGATAAGCCACACGGCTGGCCAGAGGCCAATTGCATACGAAAAGTGACGCATGAAAGGAGAGCTCCAGAACTAATTGGTCCGAATTAGTTTCAGGCGGTTGCATATGCGCAGCAGATCAGCAAACTATATGTTTATACATGTGAACCGGCCGGCCGGTCTGTTCGGTTCCATTAAAAGCGATTTTATCAAGGGTATTGGGTCTAAGCTGATTAGAAGACGGTTATTTTTTATTGCGCACAGCCAGTGGTCTAGCCATACCGATTAGATAGCGACTAGATTTACTGACGGCCTTGCTGCAGTGCTTCCTCCACAAAAAAATTCAATTTATCCTACGTGGCATGCGGCACATTAGCGCATTTATCTGTAATGGTCCGTAACACCCCTATATGTATGTGTATATGTACACACAAGTATACCCACTACATATACATACTTTCAGCTGATTTGATTTTTGTTTACGAAAGCGTGTCGCTACTGCATACTATATGAACATGCGTAATTGTATATGTATTTTCGTAAATATGTCGGTTTTTATTTAAGTATGTATTTTGGAATTTGAGCTGTATGCACTTATCACTGAAAGTGTTTTCTAGTAGCACAGAGTAGCTTCAAGTGGGTCCCTGTTGAGTACATTCTACCTACTCTAGGTAATTACAAGTTTGTCACAACGGCTGGATTTTTATTATGAAATTTGGTGTTCAGAATACCATACGGGGTAACTTAATAAAATATTTAATATACTTGGGGTAGGTAAGGAATATAGCGGTAGTCATGTGAATGGCCACGTACTCATTGTGGGAAAGAGGCCTATTGATGAATAACCGTAAGTAAAATTACATTCAGATATCAAATATAAATAGATAAAGTTGTCTGGGTAACTAATATTCTGAGCTCACCTAAACTTCATAGAGAATTCAGAAAGTAATGTGGTAATGTGGTTTTTATATATTTAATATGTCTCTTAAATAAAAATACATTTCCATACTTATTAACTTTTTTTGATTTGATCCTGAATTGTAATATCTAACAGAAAATACATGATTTTCACCTTCACCGCATTTTCGACTCCTTGGTATCTGATATCGTTAGAAAGGAAACGATAATACTAAAGACCACTGACAGCTTCTTGCTCTTTGTTCAAAAATGGCATGTTATAACATTGACACCGTGTATAAAACAATTATCAAATGTAATAGTTTATAACAATAAATTAAGTCCCTGCGCAGTCGTAAGCATAAAGCTCCCAAGTCCGGCGAGTTCACTTAACTCAGAGATCCACAAAAGGGACACATTGTCGACAACAAAAGCTTATTAAGCTGCGGAGGCAACGCCCTCAACAAAGCCATGTAATGTGCTGGCTATGGATACTCTGGCACACGCATACACAAAGTGCCGTTATATTAATTAAAAGCCCATTTCTGTTGTCAGCACTCGAGTAAATTTCATTGAATCAAGTGTAACTAAGCATGCGGGGGTCGACAGCAGCCAATTCGCTAGCGGCCTCAAACCCAAACAAACAGTCTGACGAGAAGCAGCAAGAGAGTGAGAGTGAGCGGGAGAGCTGGCTAGCCATCCAGCCAGCTGCTCTCTCAGCAAGCACTCTCACTCTTTGACAGACTGAGTTGCTCTTTCAGGCGCATTGAAATGCAAGTCAAAAATATTTTGTGTAATAAACTACAAATTACACACACATAAGCAAACACATACACACACAGACGTAAACAAAATCAAAGAAGGTGACCGTTAAATGGTATAATGAGTGCACAAAGGAATTATACAGTTTGGTGGGATTCCATAAAAACGGAAAAATCCGATTGCATGCAAATGCATATTGTCTCCGTCGTCGTAGTTGTATATTTTTGTTGTAGTTTGACAGTCTCCTTGTAGCGTGATTTGTTGTTTTATCAATAATTAAATTTGGATATCAACATACGCCCTTAATAAATTCAACTTACAGAAATTTCGTGAAGACTTTATAAAATGCCACTAGAATGTACACAAGCGTTGAAATTAGCTTCATTTTTATTATATTTGAGATTTTTATTTAAATTATAAATTCATGTGTTACTAAATGCACTGTTAACTATAAACAAGCCAAAGGTTTAAATAGAAAAAATTTCACTTTGCATAACAGAATTTTAGTTATTTCATCTAACAATTCATAGTTTCGTATCTAGTTAGATTTTCTTTTCTGTATTTCTAGCCGCTGAACTTTATGCACTTTGCTGAAATTTTACTATCAATGTCATTTCCGCGTTGAGCACGTTTTTCACACTAAGCTGGCATAAAAAAGAGGCGACTACGCTTTCTGTGACGTATGTGTGTATGTGGCGCCATGGATACGGACAAAGCGCAAGTGAAATATAGAGGGAGAGAAAGAGTAAGAGTGAGCACAAAGCGAACAGTAGAGCTGTTGAAAGGAAAAGCTAGCTCGTGCTTTCGGCGGTTTTGGAAGAGTTTTTCAACTCGTCAATGCGCTACAAAGCTTTGGTTGAGCTGATGCTCTTGAGAACGGAACTTTTACATATATTTTTCATTTCAGGTATATTGTAGGTCTTATAATCAAATCAAAATTGTTATAAATGTAAGTTTCAATTATAATTTCTATATATTCGTTTCAGGTTTATTTTAGGCCTTATTATATGTAAATTACACAAAGTTCGGTTATTTGAAGCTTTTGTAAATACTGTCAACATACATATATTGGGATAACTTGTGGACTCGTTTATGTAAAAAACGTATGGTGTGTTTATTTGTGCTAATATTTTACTCTGTTAGTTAACACCAATCTCTAGCTTACAGCAAATCTAAATGCTGAGCCAGTGTAGCGCACGTCGACATATTCGCTTGCTGGGAGCGGGGCAATAAACTTTTGTGTGGGCGCATTTAAGAGAAGTCGGTATTCGCGAACTTGAAAGCATATTTAATAAGAGTTTAGCTTGGCTAAGCAAAGAGCAGCGCCAGCATATACATGTGCTTTGAAGAGCTTAAGAGCTCGACAAGCTTTCTGCATGCTTTAAAGCTCAGCACAGTGTCGTAAACGCTTACATTTCAAATTAAAACTTTTTAAAAAGCTTTAAAAGTTTTAAATGGTTTGAATGCAGTCTAAAATGCTCAAATTGAAACTTTCAAAGTATTTAACAAATACGAAGGCAACTATAATTTAAAGTTAATGTAATTATCTAATATTTCTATAGTTTAAGGCTAATTACGTCTTATTTGGCTAATAACTCGAAGGCCTATATTCATAGGCAGGTCCCACTCGAATCGATATATTAATGGGCTCATTCAAATAGTCCTTGATGCGTCTAAAATAAAATATTTTAATATATATATAATATTTACACACCTTCAGGTAAACAAAATCTATTGGCTTATCTAACTTTTTTGTTGGCCAATACACTTACCGTCTATCTGCCTCGCTCTCGTAATGCTGATAGCCCTTCCGTTTAGCCGATTTATTCAGTCGCAACGATCGGCGCAGCTCTTTGGGCAGCGGCTTATTCGTCTCCCGCCTCAGAAAATCCCCCAGCTGCTGGCATCTGGCAGCGAGCGTCTGCCAGGCCAGGCGCAGCAGCCGCCGATGTCTGGGTCCTGTGGCGCCACCGGCATTCGGCGTGGCGTCATAGAGGTTTGTATTGGAGACTGCCCACGCTGACATGTTGAGCTGCCTGTGTGCAGACAAAGACTGAAAACTGAAAATGCCAAGACAACTGGCCAGTCGTTTAGCTGATAAGATTTGCTTAACTCTCTGCGATGCCAATGGCATGCAATACTAATTGAGTCGAATCGAAGTTTATACACAATACCAATACGCTCGACAACAACTAGGCGGATATTCGCCATATCAATTGCTAGTTAACTGGTTCATAACCATATTACAATTGAGTTGAAAATTTGACTATTTTTGCCGTTGCAAAAGAACCAGAAATTCAATAATTTTCTGTCGGAATTGCTGCCTATGGAGAGAGCAAAAACGTTTTCTGTGTTTGGGCCTGAAGCAAGGACTAATGCTGGTCCTGGCTAAAACCCGAAACCCAAATGTGCAGTTATGAATTTTTCGCATAGACAATTTTCAATATTATTCTCCTTCCTGCAGACAGCTCGTTTTCCTCATTTATATACCGCCCTCCCTCTCTCCATGGGGATTGGAGCCATGTCCAATGACATGTCCTGTAACAAAATACAAATAGCAGCGCCTGCCCGGTTTCCATGTGGCCAACACCTCTGCCCGCCGTGCTGCGCCGCTCTCTGTGGCAATTGGTCTGCGCCCCGGCTGCAGCACGCCTCAGAACCTTGCCACATGCCACCAATTGTGCCTGCAACAGACGTCCACACAAAATTGCATGTGGTTCCACGCAGTTTGTCTACACTGGAGCCCGGTGTGACTGGGTTTTTGGCCGGCTTTTGTTGTTAAAAGCGAAAATTCGTTTATTATCATATTTTTGGCACGGATTCGAATTTGTCTTCAAAACGTACGCACTTTTGCAGCAGGCCTATTGTCTGCCTCAACGAGACGCAATAACGAGAATCACACAGAGCAGTTGTTCCACAGTACTACTTAAAGCCCTTCGGGTGTTTAATTGGGTATAATGTATAATTTAATATAGGGGTACACAATTTTCAAGATCACGACATGTGACATAAAGAGCAAGTAAAACCTCTTCAATATCTAGTATTCTTGTATCAAACGAAATGGCATTATTACTTATACTCAAAACATCAGCAAAGGAATCATCGAATTCATTCCGTAGAGCGAACGTATTTGTTGCAACATTTAGAAGTCATGTTGCGGTTAACTTATATTATCAAGCAAATTTGTGTGTTAACACTTTCTGGTCAAACAACAAACAACTGTGATTTGGTGCCATCAAATTTTCTCACATCAACTTTGTGTAGCTCAACCGAAGTTTTCGTAATGTTAGACTCAAAGTATTTTATAAATCAAATGATCTTACATTAGCTAAGGGGTTTAAATAACTTGTATGGAAATATATAGTATTATTAAGAATAGACAGCACTGATGTTAGATTTGGATTTCCAGAGTAGAACATCAGATCGTTCTCATTACAGTTTCTTATAAGTGGAGTTTTTTATACCCTGAACCTATTAAAAATATGTATAAGGGTATATTGTATTTGTGCAAAATCCAAATGTAGGTAACAGGCAGAAGGAAGCATATCCGACCCCATCAAGTATATACATTCTTGATCAGCATCAATACTCGAGTTGATCTAGCCATGTCCTTCAGTCTTTCCGTCCGTCCTTATGAATGAACGCAAGGATCGCAGAACCTATAAGAGCTACAGACTTGAAATTTTAGATGTAGATGCTCCTAGTTTCCTCGCAGATTGAGTTTGTTTCCGATAATCGATAACTTGCTCCGTTTGCAAGCAATCGATAGAAATCTATATCTATATCCTGTTTTTTTGGGCAATTTTGGTAAATAATAAGAGCTAGAGTCACCAAACTTGACATATAGCTTCCAAAATAGAATATCTATATATATATATTTGATGTTGGAAGAAGAGGGTTCAGGGTATCCCCTAGTCGGGAGCTCCCGACTAGAACCTCTTAGTTGTTTAATTTTTTTTATTGTACAATAAGTATCTTGGGTATTGTCTCGTTGTTATATTAAATATTAAATAATTAACAACTCTCGCCCTGGGAATCGCATAGAGAAGCACTCACCACTGTAAAAATGTATGTGAATCTCTGCAAATGACAAAACCATTCGCCTGACTTGACACCCCATCCACCCATTCGTATCTTTTCCAAGTCAATTGATTGTTTTTGCTGTCTGCTGAAATCTGTTGGCTTCTAGCTACGTTTATTATATGAAGGTGACATCAGGCTGCAAGGGGCAAGGTGGCAAACATACGTATACACACGTGCACGCACAACGCACACACACAAAGAGAGAAAGCTATCGTTAGCTGCAGAGAAATGCATTTAAAATTCCATTTAAATACCAAATAGCAATAACGAAATGAAAATCTTTTGTGAAGCAGTAAGAATGAGCTGCTTGCGTGATTAAGACTAAAGGCTACCCTGCAAACATATGAATTCATGTGTATATCCTTAAAAGCAATCCACTTTTGCTATTTTCAATTCTTAGCCGTTTACCAATACTTTATCTTTAGAGGCTTGGCTTGGCTTGATGTTAGCCCCGAATTTTTACAAAATCAGTTATATATTTCGATAGAGGGTATACAGGGTACAGGATACAGGGTATACAGCTACGCCCTCAATAAATTCCATTGGCTGTTGCCTTGATAGTCAACCAATATGTAATAAAAGTAAATAGCATACTTATTCACTTACTCCTGTTTCTGGGAAACTTTCTCGGTTGCATTTCATTCAATTTTCAATATTATTCGTCTTCGAATTTTAACTTTTGATCGTTTCGGATTTGCCAGGCTGTTGACACTACAGCAACTTATTCGTTATTCGCCTTTTTGGATTTTATTTAAAATTTTTTTTGCCAGCCTCTTGACTCCTTTTCTGCTTTGCATATTTTTCGGCCAGGTTCAGTGTGTGAGAGGCAGATATAAAAATATTGTTATTTACCGCTGTGCAATAAAGTGCCATAAAATGTTTGTATCGACTACTGAACACATCAATTAATTTTTTATTAGTCGACGTCAGTACGGCTTGTAATCGAATCTCAGTTCTATTTGCAATGCCAGGCAAATATTTGTGGCAACTGCAAAATAAGTTTTTGTGGGGTTGAGTGGTTGGGTTGCTGTGCGTAGGGAGTTTAGGTAACAGTTGGTAGGAAAATTAAATGCGCCAGCCTGTTGCCAAACTAATGTCTATGTGCACCGCTTAAAGGCGGGGCTAGCTGTTAAATTAGACAAAACGCTGAGGGTGTGAAAAAAGCTGCAAAATATACAAAGGAAACTTCAAGGATTCGCTGCACGTTCTCATCTTTAACGCCATATGTTGACTTCTGCTAACACACGCACACACAGGCCTGCATATTTCCTTTATCTTATATGCGCTATTTTATGCCTGTTGGCAACAACTACAACAACGATAACGCCTGCCGTTGGCCTACTCTTTCTTCCATTCACTTTTGATACCCTTTTGCTTGGATATTACCTTTTTGTTACAAATTGTGTAACGCATTAAAAGGTGCATAGTCCGTCATACACTGTATAAAGTTCTATAAGTGTAAACAGCTTAATTGATATATGGTATATGATATTTTACTTATTTTATCTATTTAAGTTCGACCTGTAAATTATATATATTTATATCGCAGTATTAATTTAATTTTAAAATGTTTTCTACTGTACACTATAACTTTGCATGCAAGAATTTAATGCTTTTTATATGTTGCTCTTACATTTTTGGCTGAAACTTTTCTCCAACAGACCACTTTATTGTTTAGTTGCCATAGGAACTATTGAATTTTTGTAGGAACAACTTTTTGTTTTTGCAGATATTCTAGACAAATTCACCAAGAAATTAATTATATTGACAACAAGGAGGCCACAACATAGGAATGATCAGGTGTATCATAACAGCTAAATGCCTGCAAGAGTATTTAGTTCTCGATAATCTGACGTTAGTCTACTTTCTTTTTTTGTTCTTTCTGCCCTCAACAGTTTTGCTATTGAAGTTGTTGCTGTGGCTGCTGTTTTGCTCGCCTTTTTGCCAATAGATTGTGTGCCACACTTTGGCATTTTATAACATAAACTTTCATTTATTTTCGCTCGTCTTCTGCCACATCTTTGCTGCTGTAGTGCCTGTAATGCTCCCATGTTGTTGCTCGCATTTGAATGGGTAGCCACATATGCTATGGCTACAAACAACTACACACAAGCACACCCACACAGACACACAAGCACACCCTTACATAAACGAGTACACAAGAAGTCGTCTGCTGTCTTGACATCTGTCTGCCAGGCCCAAGCGCCAAAGTCGAGCGCTTGAAAATCGCCCAAAAATGTACATTTGCATGCACATCAGCATTGGGCGTACATTTATCTCGGTGACTGTGTCGGCTGCGCTCGCCAAAGTAGGCCGCCAGTTGTTGGCTAATGCGGCAAGGATATCAAATCAGGCAGCTGGTCCATCCTCTCCATCGCTAAAAACATGCCGCTACAACACCCGTAGTGAGCAGCTCATGGGGTGGTGCAATTCGCTGTTTAGGCGACTGCGTTTAAAGCCAAGACTGTTGAAGAGTCCGAGCTAGTGCTCGTGAAACGCTTACGGACGCGACATATACAATAGAAAACAGAGCGGAGAAGTAGTGAAGTATGGTTCTTAATATTTTGTAAAAGAAACGCTCAACCCCTTTTGCTGTTACCTTGCAGACAGTAAAACGCTCAGGAATGCGATGCGAAGAAGAATTACAAATGCTAGAGAGAGAGAGAGCAAAAGCAAGATAGCGAGAGAATGAGTGAGAGAGAGAAAGAAATAAACAACTTGAAAGAAATAACCAATATGAAAGAAAATAAAGAAACATATAAAAACAAATAAGAGTCGGGAGAAAGGGGATACCCTGTACCTTCTTTTTGCAAAACCCCAAATGCAGTTCGCGCTACGCATTCGCTTACTCATCTTACGAAATGTCCTGCCCCAAAGGGATGTACGGTAGCCATAAAATGTAAGACACTTATTCTGTAATTACTATTGTAGATGCTATATTTCAAA